AGCCAAATCCTTCATGGTACTCATTTAAGCTTGTTAAAAGCGTATTAGTAGTAAGTTGTTTGTATATTTATTTCATGATTTTAATAAACTGATTGTATGTTAACATTTTATTTTTGTTTCTTTAATTTGTTGAAGGCTTAAAAAATGTTATTAGGTTTCATAAATCTGTTCTAGGTTGTTTTGATGAACTTGTCCAGCTTATGAAAGCTGGTATTTCAACTGAAGATGATTTGCCTCAAGATAATTCAGAAATCACAGGTTCTAAAAAAAAAAATCTTGCCCGACATTTTTTGTTGTTTATAATTAATGTTAAAAGAATTGTCTATTAAAAACCTTATTTATTTAAAACAAATATTGTATTAAATCTTACATTACATATTAAGGTCAGTATCAGGTAGGCATAAAATGTATCTGTTAGTATTTTTAAGCTTTATGATTATATTATATTCATATATATATTAAAGGTTGTGATACTTTGATCAATAGTTTTTGATAAAACTATTAAAACTTGAAATTAATTGTAATAATTAATTTAAAAGTGTAAAGAAAAAATAATATTATATGAAGTTAGTAACATTCTCTGTGTTTAACATTGTGAAATGCTAAACACATTAAATTACAATATTATTTTTTCTTTAAGTTATTATAAATTTATTATATATATAAAATTACTATAAATTTATTATATTTATCCAAATTTTAACATGAAAAGTAAACTGTTTAAATATGGTTAAAATTTTTATATATATTTTCATATATTTCAAGTATATAATTTTCCATGTTTCACTGATCAATCTCAGAGAGATATTGCAAAACACTTCTTTGTTGATTTCTGTCAAATTATTATTTTCCAATATACTGTGTTTTGGCATTTCAGGGTATTACTGACTATATTTTATCATGTTATTTTTCATATAGGTGATTTGTCTGATGTTAATGCAAAAATTCCGCTGATTTGTGGCATGGAGCAACAAAATGAAGGTTTTTTTTTTTTTTTTTTTTGTTACTTTTTCTAAAGTATGTCTACATTACTTTTATAAAAATTATTTATGGAACATATATAATACATATTTACAGAACACGAAGAAGATGATGGAAGTCTGCTAGATTATCCGGTTTTTGGTTAGCATTTTATATATTATTATATTCTCAAATGCAGACATTCAAAAAATTTAACTGTTTTTTTATTTTGCAGAACTTAAAAGTGTGCAGAAAAGACCAATTAAAATGTCTTCGAATATTATTAAACCGAGTGTAAAGGCGAAAGACTTATCAGTTGTGGATTTCACTTCTATACCACATATTGCCAGTGAAAAAGTGTACAGCATTACTCAAGGTGGGTGTATATATATTTTAATTATTTTAACATTTGCCACTATGAATTACTCATAAGCAACCTTGTTTTAGATTATATTGGTTGATTGATATTGATTCAAATCACGATTAGGATAAAGTTCACGATAGGAACTTAGATTATATTGATAAACAGGGTGGTGCAAACACGAGTTGAATGGTTGGGAAATAGTTATTAAAAAAATAATATAATTTAATTAAATACTATATTAGGTCTCGTTTGTAAGCGTTCCTCCTGAACGCTTACAAACGAGGCTTAATATTTTTCTAAAAACTGTTTTTATAATTTTGTTAAGTAAATAAAGAACTATTCATAAACTAAAGCAATTTAATTTTAAGTGTTTGTTTATGGTGTTAAAAAGTGATTATTAAAAAAATTAAAATTGCGTCCAAATAAACTTTAGTTTGGTTCTAAAAACGTTCAAAATAAATAAACAGGGAGAGCTTTTGTTTTTTACAATCTAAATAAATAGTCTGAGCAAGACTAACCTCAGACTAATTATATTATAGTTGTTTTGATTTTAAGTTTTATTTATTTTAGATCTTTTGGTAAAAACTAAAACTTCAAGAAGGAGTTATCAAAAAGATGACAGTGCAGACGAAGTGACGATAAAACCTCTTTTTAAAAAAAAACGAAATGAAACGGAAAACGAAATCATTGAAAATGATACGGAAGAAATAGCAACAACTTCTGGCAACCACTCTCAAATTGTTACAAAAACAATCAAAACCAATGCAAAAGTTGGTCGTCCAAAATCAGCAGCAAATGAGTGCTATCCACTCGGAAATGCTCAATTTCAGCATAAACTTTTTATGCATTTAAATGATCACAAAGAACGTTTAAAAAACATTGAAAAAAGTCAAAAAAGGATTTTAGAGTTCATATCAAATAAGGACAATGAAGATGGAAATAATGAGATTATCAAAGCTGAAACAATTGACCAGCTTAAAGAAATTAATTCAAAATTAATTATTGACGCCTTATATAAGAGTAAAATGAAGAAGGTATTAGAAGTCGTTGGTCTAACATGTAGCAATGCACGTCAACATATAAATGGTGCAATAAACACTGTAATGTCAGTTAACATTCAAACAAAAGTTAATGTTTTGTATGGAAACCATATTCCAAATAAAGAATACTGCGATCGCGTGTCTTTGCGCAGAGAACTACCAAACATTTTTCAAATTCTTGTTGATGTTGTCAGCAAAACATGGAGTGTGTCTGTTAAAGAATTGCAGAAATTTATGTCCGAATGGTTGAAGAATGCGCCGAAAAGAGCTTCAAAAGAAAGTTTCGCATGATATAGATACTTTGAGTTGCTGTATCTTCGTAATAGCATCAATAACTGTTTTTAATTAGTTTTTAAACTTTATTTTTTTTTATAATTGTAAATTTATTTAATCCTGTTAATTTATACACATTTCACTAATTTATGGTTTTTAATTTCTATAACTATATAAGTTATTTTTGTTATAGTTCGAATAAAAATTCAAATATAGTGCATACTTTAAATATACATTTTTTTCATATAAATAGTGTATAATTAATAAAACATATTAATTAAAATTGATTGGAAGGAATTTTTAAATTCTGCCTTATAAATTTTTGCATTTTAAACTTTGTGAAAACTGACAAAACATAATAATTAAAATTTGAATAAAAGAATTTAGTGTTAAGTTGAGTTTTGATTATAATAAACACTCAACTCAACTCTTAAATGCGTAAATAAATATTTACGCATTTACGCGATAAAATGGGTAACATATTACGCGATAAAATGGCTAACAAATATTCGCAAA